TTCTCGGTCTCACAAAAACCGTAGTACTACCGGACGAATAGCTCAATGTACTGGTTTTAGTTTAGTACTTCCATTTATTTCATATCATCTTTGTATACATAATAAAATACATCACTCATATCATACTCATTTAAAATGTTGACTCCATTCAATTAGAAAACTTTTCAACCAAATTTTGATTAGTAAAACCAAAGATACTGTGGTCTATGTAAATTGGTACTAGCATATATTCTTCATTATCTTTCTTAACAAAAAACTTAGACCAAACATTACCTCAGTCAAAACCATATTTAATCAAGAATAGGTAAGCATTTGATACAACCATATTTAATCAAGAATAGGTAAGCATTTGATACCATGCTCGTGGGGAATGCTTCAGTTCATAAACAACTTTGTCACTCTTATAGCAGTGTCCAGGGAAGTAGTGGATCTTCAAACCATAAAGGTTGTTGAATAAACACTTCCCCGTCTAGAGTTCTATTGATAAATGCATGTTTTACATCCATCTCATAGGCGTTAAACTTTTTGTAAGAAACATAAGCGAGGAATATTCTAATAGATTATATCCTAACTACAAGTGCAATGTTTCCTATAGTCTATTCATTCATATTGGTTATATCCTCTAACCACCCAACAAACTTTGATTTACCATACGCCTAGTGTCATCCTTCATATTTTTAAAACCGTTTTTTAGAAAAGGGGTGAAAATATTATCAGAACTCTTAAAATAATCAAAAATATTTTATATATCTACTTTATGATAATCTAAATTGGTGTAACAAAAATATTCATTTTTATTGTGAGGTTATTTTATCAAAGTTTTGTGATTAGTTATGTTATCAAAGACTGCTTAAACATTTTATAAAATTAAAAGTTTAAATATCATATTTAGGCCGTATTCGACAAAAATAGCTGGTAGCGGGTAAGCTTCTAGCTGGTAGCGTTTTATTAAACGCTACATGAAGTAGCATTTGGATTTGGAGCGTTTTGTTTAAACGAAACGCTAGAAGATTGTAGTGTCAAACGAGACTTTCTGTTCAAAACGAAGCGTTTTGTCAAACGCTAAAAACTGTAAGCTTTCAAACACTCAATGTCGAACACGCCCTTAATATGGTATATTTAATATGGTAGTTGTTTTAAAGTACTGATATTTTTTATTTTAATTCTCTATTTTATTTAAATTAATATTTACCTTTTATGTTGAGCATTTAACATTTTACATGTAAAAGCCAATTTCATACTTTGATATAATATTTACATCGCGTCAATATTCGTCGGTACAAAATATTTGTATTTTTCCAATCTGTTATAAGCCATTTCATGCTTTTTTACCATGTTGTTAAAGATGTAATGGTAATAATGAGATTTATCAAAAGAATTTGAATATGAACTAACTGGAATCAGATTCAATTTGTTTGGGACTTTTTCTGTAGCTCATCGGAATCATGAATATATGAATGATGGAGTACAAAAGGATTCTGGAATCAGATTCAATTTGTTTGGGACTTTTTCTGTAGCTCATCGGAATCATGAATATATGAATAATGGAGTACAAAAGGATTTCATGAGAATGGAATTGAACTCCTTCCATTTTTTACACTTTTTATTGACAGATTTTGACTATGATTCGCTCCAAACCCGTAAGATTTTTAAGGGTTAGATTTTAATTTTTTATTCATTTACCCTTTACGACATAGACTCGTTTATCCTTTTATTAAATGGGTCGGGTATGGATCATTGTTGATTCGATCTACTTATAACTCGTCCCATTATATATATATATATATATATATATATATATATATATTATATATATATATATATATATATATAGAGAGAGAGAGAGAGAGAGAGAGAGTTAGGTTCAAATATTTCTACTATCTATTGTGTGCATGTATGATTGATTGTACACTAATCATTTTAGTTATTTTAAGAAAGTAATTAATACATATTAAATGTTGAAGATTTAATTAATACTAATTATATCTTCAACAAAGTAATCATTTTAGTTATGTGTGTGCGCTATGTATGCATATATATATATATATATATATATATATATATATATATATATATATATATATATATATATATAGAGAGAGAGAGAGAGAGAGAGGAGGGTTCAATTGAGAAAAAAAAGGTTGAGAATGGGGGAATCATTAACAGCCACATATTTATTTTGTCGCAAAACACTTAGGCGTACCGGCGGAAATGAATAACGAATAAACATGTGTTTTCCAACCAAACATGTTTCCTTAAACTATGCTAATCATTACCTTAATATACATAAAAACATATATTTTTTTTGTTTTTTTTATTTTTAGAAAGTCATTTTTATCGAAAAATTATTTTAAATATATCAAAATTCATAATTTTTTATTCTCTATAAATAGACATCCATATTGATATAGTTTTGAAATAAAATAAAAAATTTATTTTTTTAGAGTTTCAGCTCTCGTTATTCATAAGTGAATAAAAATCTATCAGATTTTTATTACAGTACATTCGTTATTCACTTATGAATAAAACGTATGCTTAACTTTTTTTTTATAGTTTAAGTGTCGTTCATATGTGAATATGACACGTAATAAAGTTTTCTTACTTAAAATCAGTGTTATAAAAATCCCGATTAGGTCCCGATTAATCCCTAGGCACTACTCGACCGATTAGAGAGCGCCTAGCGATTAATCCATGCATACAAAATGACTGAAATAGTAGAACCCGATGAAATTTCAACACTTTGAAAAAGTTATATCTCAATAGAAACTATTTGTTTTCCAAAAAAAAATAGAAACTATTTGAGGTATGATTAATGTTGTATTTATCATATTAACCTATTTTGTTATGATATTAGTTGTATTTATGAATTTTTTATATGATATTAGTCATATTTAAGTTTTCAAAATATAACAAATTAGCAATTAATGGTCCCCGATTAATCTCCGTCTAACCGATTAATCCCTTAACCCTAGTCCACCGACTAGCTAACTTCGAGCGATTTTTACAACTTTGCTTAAAATATATTTTTACATCATCTTTCGTCATATATTATATTTATATATGAATAAAATGTGTATTAGTTGTCGTTATATTTTATATTCATATATGAATAAAACATTTATCAGATTTTTGTTACAGTTAATTTGTTATTCATATATGAATAAGTAGTATAAATGATACTTAAACTGTAAAAAAAATAATTATATATTTTTATTCATAAATTAATAACAAATGTACAGTAGCAAAAATCTGATGTACTTTTATTCACTTATGAATAACGATAGCTGAAAATATAAAAAAAATAAAGTTTTTATTTTATGTTAAAAGTATATCAATATGGATGTCTATTTGTAGAGAATAAAAAATCATAAATTTTGGTATATTTAAAATCATTTTTCGATAAAAATAGTTTCTTAAAAGTTAAAAAAACAAAAAAAAAAACTATGTTTTTGTATATATTAAGGTAATGATTTGTATAGTTTAAGGAAACATGTTTTGTTGGAAACATATGTGTATTCCTTATCCATTTCCGCTGGTACAACGAAGACTTTTACGGCAAAAATAAATGAGTGGCTGATAATGATTCCCTCATTCTCAACATTGCTACTGTATATATATATATATATATATATATATATATATATATATATATATATATAGTCTAATGACTAAAAAGTATAAATGTGATATTTTGATTTTTTTTCCTGTGACTCATGAACCCAAATTTAACTCACAAACCCAAATAAGATCCACGAAACCGTGAATCCATATAATTAAACAGGTTATGAGGATTGACATGTTTATGTCTAATCCGGGTTAAGGTTGAAAGAGACGACATAAATATTTATATGGATCGTGTCTGGATTAAAATTTTATGACCCATCAACCCGCAACCGATAATCCGAACACAACATAATTACCATCCCTACCTAACCATCATGCAATGTTCGTTAGATCGGCCAATATCCCTTATCCAAAGGCGTACATAAGTTTTCTGTTTTTAATTGGACTATTCAAACAAAGCCCAAACTTATATTTATTAAAAAGGGGTAATACGCCTATTTCTTTGTAACATTCTAGTGGGGGTGTTGTGTTGAGGCTTTTCTCGGTCATTTTGTCACACCTTGCAAGTATGTCTAGTTCTATCCAAAAGAAGTAAATTACATGTAAGAAAAGGAAACATATTTTAGTTCATTTGTATTAGGACATGTAATTATAAAACTAATATTTAAAAAGCATATGTTATAGCTTTACAATAAAATAACTAAACAATTACCAAAGCTCAATTTCAACTACGGTAATCAAATCCTTGTTTATAAGAATTTATAACACAGGCCTCTAAATCTTAATTATGAAGATAAATTTTCTATAAATAATAACTGATCAAGTATCCGTAGCTTTTACCTTAATTTCATATTTGCCCACTTTATTATAGAATAATAAACTATCGGGGCAAGAGGTGCACAACAAAAACTGATCTGATTTGGGAAATAAATCCAGTTTCTGCACCTCTAATCAGTTGTGCAGTTTAGTAAACTCGAACCTAAAACTAATAAAAAAAATTAATGAAAAGAAAGTAATGTTTTTGGGGTTTATTTCAACAATTGAAGTTTTACTAATTTAGTTTAAGCTTTAAAGTAATAAAAGTTTTAAATGGGCGAGTTTGCCATTAAATTTGGTAATTTATATGTATTACACCATTATATCATAACAATTAACTATTGATAATCAATAGCCATTACTAGAACTTATAAAAATGAGGGCAATCACTTTCAACCAAACTCATACCAATTTGAGGATTGAAAGATATGAAGTTTAACATCAAAAACATGAATTGCAAGAAGTTAGATGATATATGATTACTCTTCCTAAACCCAAAGAAGTAAATCTTCAATTAAAGTTACATTTTTTCTTCAACCAACTCTTGTTATGATTATACCATTAAGCTAAATATAATCAATCTATTCACAAAAAAATCCAAAAATTAAAGGAAAAGTCCATTACAAACCCTCTTTAGTAGCATCATCCTTTCCTTTTTCAACCATCGATTCTTGAGAATCTTGATGAGCCAAATCATAAGTAGCATGAACCCCAACAAAAAAATAATAAACCAACATCACACCACTACATATAAAAAACCTCTTAAACGCAATTCCACCCAAAGACCCAATCAAAAACACATTCATCAAAATCGACATCGATGGCAACCACGGAACTAGCGGCACCCCCCAAACCTTCGGCACCCGCCGCTCTCCAACCACCATCATTCCGCCCGTCCCCGCCACCCACAACCCCCCACCCACCGCATACCCCACCCACCCTTTCCGATTCGCCGCCCAAAGCACCGTTATTCCAATCGAAGAACCAATCACCACAAACAAACAAACCATAAACTTTATCAAATCACTCGAAGAACACGTCTCCTTCACATAATATCTTCTCACAAGCAATGCAACAGCCATGAGCATGAAGATAAACAAAGTGCTAAAAGATAACACACTCGACAACACATCCAAGCTTGAAAAGAGAGACACAATGCAACTAATTGTGGTCACTAATAGTGTCGCGTAAACCGGGGTCCCGGTTTTCGGGTGGACTAAAGCAAACCATGGTGGGATCATATGGGCCCGGGCTATTTGAGTTGTGTAACGGGCTTGACCCATTGACCCGATTAGCATACTTGTAAGCATACCTTTTAAAGCACATATACTCACTATATATTTAGCCCATTTCATCCCGATTTTCTCAAACGCAACTGAATAAGCTGCGTCTCTATCGATCTCTGTGTAGTTCACCATCATTGTTAGAGCTAATGCCATTAGACAATACACGACACTGATCATAGACATTGATCCTACTAAACCTAGAGGTATGTCTGTTGCAGGTTTTCTTGTTTCTTCAGCCATGTTAGCTACCATGTCGAAACCAGTGTAAGACCAGTAAACAACAGCTGCAGCTCTGAACACTCCTTCAGGTCCGTATGGGAAGAAGGGTGTTAGATTGGAAGATTTGGCGTGAGTAAACCCGACAATGATTATGAACACTATGATTAAGGAACTAATCATGGAAAGAATCATGTTTGAAGATGATGTCAATTTGGTTCCTCTCATTGCTACCATGTTTGCGATGAATAAGATTATAACAGCAATTGGGTCTAGTAAATTGAAACCTTCTGCAAATGAATCGATTCGAATTCGAAGAATATCAGGGTTAGAACTGAACATACTTGCGAAGTATGATGAGAATGATCGAGCTAATCCAGCTGCACCGGCGACAGCTTCCAGTAGAATGTTACCTGAGAAATCAAGCATAAATCCAAGAAAAATTGTTAATTTGGAACGAAATCGAGCTAATTTAGTTTCAATTGTTAGTTTTGGTGATTACCGGCGGCAATGAAGGCGATGAAATCGCCTAATTCGACGCGGAGAAACGAGAATGAACCACCGGCGATGGGAATTTCAACGGCGAACTCTGTATAGCAAAAAACAGAGAAAAGGGCGGATAAGCCGGAAAGAGCGTAAGATAAGACGATTGAAGGTCCGGCGTCGTCTCGGGCTTCAAGGCCGGTGATGGTGAAGATACCGGAGCCTACAACGGATCCAAATCCAAGCCAAATTAGATCAACCCAAGTGAGACACTTTCGCATCTCGTTTTCGCTTTGTTTCTTGAGCTCAATGAGTTCAGTTTCATCGGTGGATCGACCGAGGCAGCGGTCACGGAGGCGGTGGAGGGTTTCGGAGAAGGCGGCCTTGTAGGCTGAGAGATTTTGGAAAGACGGTTCGGGATAGAAGTCTTGTTTGCTGAATCGCCAGTAGGATCTTGGCGTGTGAGGTTGTTGATCCATGGTGTCGGCGGTGGTGATGGCGGAGGAGTGGTGGGGGTTGAGAGGAGCGAGGAGGTTTATACTTGGGTTGTCCTGGTCCGATTGGGAATCAGGGAGCGGTTTGTTCGGGATTACCATCGTTCTTTTCGCACCGCCGTAGCGATTAACTTAAAATGTTGTACGGCGATTGGTGGATTCATTGATTCCTGATGATACATGAGGTAGAAACTAGAAAGGCATACCAAAATTAGCGCGATTTATTATTTTTGTTTTATAAGATTTATACTTATAAAATGTTTTGACAAATCAGGGAATGAATTAATCTTTTATGAAAATTTATTCTAATAATTCTATCTAATAAATAAAGAACTTTTTGTCATTTGTCAATTTATTATGCATTTGGACACTCTCTAATAAATAAAGAACTTTTTGTCATTTGTCAATTTATTATGCATTTGGACACATGTAATTTTGTGGTTAATTCTTAAAAATTAATTTTCACTTGTCATTTTGTGGTAATTTTTGATTTTCTTAATTAATTATCTAATTTTTAGGTTATAGAAAGTAATTACTGTGTCATTAATTTGTTTCCTTATATTTTCAAATTTTAATATTTTTCCTTCAATATATATAATTCAAAATTGACATGATTTTTTTAAGTTCATTGTAATTTTAGGTAAATGGTCTATATAAAAAAAATAATCATACTTTGTTGTTTTTTATTGATATTTAATGTTTTCTTTAAAAAAATATTTAAACTTTATATTTTCATATATAATTTATTTTAAACAATCTGTGTAGTACACGGGATTCACACCTAGTTTATTCTAATAAATGAAGGTTTTTTTGCCACTTGTCACACTCTCATTCAATTTGTCAAATATCATTTTATTATTATTTTGAATTAATTTTTTTCCACATGTCATTTTATGAGTTTTTCTATTTTATTAAATTTCATATACTCCATTTTAATGTTATAAATGTAATAATAAATAGATATCAATTTCATTAATAAACTTATCTTTTAATTTCAAAATTTTCAAAATTAAAACTCATTAGTTTCTTTTGTTTATTTATTTAAATTTAAAATATAAAAACATTTTCATTATAATAATTCATTATTTTCTTATTTTCTTAAATTTTTAAAGTTTTCAAATATTTACACCTTTATTCTAATAATTTATTCTAATAAATGAAGGTTTTTTTTGCCACTTCTCACACTCTCATTCAATTTGTCAAATGCCATTTTATTATTATTTTGAATTAATTTTTTTCCACATGTCATTTTATGAGTTTTTCTATTTTATTAAATTTCATACACTCCATTTTAATGTTATAAATGTAATAATAAATAGATTTCAATTTCATTAATAAACTTATCTTTTAATTTCAAAATTTTCAAAATTAAATTTCATTAGTTTCTTTTGTTTATTTATTTAAATTTAAAAGATAAAAACATTTTCATTATAATAATTCATTATTTTCTTATTTTCTTAAATTTTTAAAGTTTTCAAATATTTACACCTTTATATTTAATTTTTTTTAAATTAATTCATGTATTACATGAGTCTCGCAACTAATAATTATAATAAATGTTAAAGAAAATAGGATATTACACGTTTTTTTATTTAATTTTAATATAGTATTTTGTTTTTAGAGTTAGCACATTATATTTTCATATATTTATTTAATTAATACTTTAAATCCAATATTAATTATGTATTCTCATTATAATATATTTTGTTTATTAATTTAAATATGATGTTAAATTCAAAGCATAATTTTTATAATATATTCAAATTTATTTTTTCTATATAATTAAAAGTTTAAATATAAGATCTAAATCAAAATGTCAAATTAACAAAAAAAAAATTATTAAAAATTACTTTTTATAATGATAACTTTTTTTCTCAAAATAGATATTTAAATTAAATTAAAAACATTAAAAGTTTAAATATGTAAGTCCCGAATTCTCCTACGTATCAATCGGATTCACTTTGATGGTGTGGAATCCCAATCAAAGTGTATAATGCAAGATATAAGATGAACAAGAACACAAAATGAATCTTCAATGCACATGATATATATTGATTAATCGTCCGGTGCACAAGATTCCGATTACACACGGTTTTCTCTCTATTTCACTCTAGATCTCGTTCCTGGCTTATGGCAGCCCCCAAAAACGTCCCCCTCTAATTACAAGGCTCAAATGACATTATTTATACATAGACCTAATAACCAAGCCCAAGCCCAAAACCCAAACAAAACAATATAAAGCCTAACCGAAATCACATGTGATTTCGGTCCAAACAACACCAAAACATGGTGTTTTCGGTCCTAGACCGAGAACTCTAATAACTTATGAAAAAGCAAAGTATAAACCACAATTTATGACCTAACAATCTCCCCCTTGGTTTATAGCTTTCTTTTCACTTAGAATAAACCATAAATTAGTCCTAACAATCTCCCCCTGGGTTTGTAGCTTTCTTTTCTTTTCAATCTTCGCTTTGTGCTTGGCTTCAACTTTAATCTTTGATTTCTTCACAACTTCAAGATGAACATGAGAATGTCTACATAAATGACTTTATCTTGAACAGTTGGACATCCTTCAAAGAATTTGACTTTGAATTCATAGTAGGTGTAAGGCTTCTTGTAAAGGTTCTTGAAAATCAGCACTTGCAGCTTTGAAATACTCCAGAGATAATAACAGAGAGACCGATTCTTCTGGATCACTTCAGCAAGTTCATAGATAGCAGCAAATTGATTGAGAAGACTTTAATTCAATCTATCACGTAACTTCAAGTACAACATCACCTTGCTTCTCGGGTTGAAAACTTGAGTGTTGAAAAATAATATTCACTTCCAGTTTCTTCAAATGAGTGTTCTTTAATGATCACCATTGCGCCTTGAAAAGTAATCATGACTAAAAATTCCTTGTGGATCACATAATCATAAAGACCCTTCTCACCACAATTGTTCAAGGACCCAGCCTTGGCTCAGATGGAGATTACTCGCAGTATATGTGTGAACATGGAGGAGCTTACTGCGATTGATGAGTACCGGAGAGCTACTCATGGCCTTCAAATGTTAGCCCCTGTATATCCTAGATCAAAGATCTTGTGACAACCTGAATTTTTTTTTTCTTTGAAAGCTCAGTCAATCAACTCAACTGAGTGTCAGACTCATGGGTAATGAGTTCTAGCCTGGTTAAAGGTCATTCTAAGGAGTTTTAAGCCTAGTACACTTAAGGAATGGATGTTAGAATGTACCTGCTAGAGACATTGTTCAACAAATCGAGCCTTAACCTCTTCATTTAGAGTACACGGCCACAACACTTGAGTTTACGGCCGTAAACTCAATGTGGGCCGTAAACTCCCCCTTATAGGCTCATATCCTTCAACTTTCTTCATTCTTTCATTTCCAACTCAAGAACACTCCATTTCTCTCTCAACTATCATCCCGATTTTCATCCAAGATCTTCAAAAGTTGTAAGTGTTCTTCCTTGATTTGTTGTTACACTTCATCTCCTAGTTACCCTCTTTGATTTCATCCATGGAAATCAACTTTTCTTAGATCTTAAAGAAACACCAAGAACACACACTAGTGTTCTTGGCCAAAATCGACCATTTCAAGCCTCTAGATCGTAAGTACTCTTCCTTATACTTCATATCTAGTTAGGACTCATGCTTAGAGCCTTGAAAACATCAAAAACACAAGAACAGAAGGAGTTTACGGCCAAGCAATATCCCTTGGCCGTAAACCCCTATAATGGTGTCATTTTGGCCCTAAACTCTTCCTAAGGCATAGATTCAAGGCTAGAACACTCCCTTGTGCTTTGTAAGACCTTGAATCATCACCAAACTCGTCATTTAGCGAGTTTACGGCCCAAGAGTAAACACCCTTGGCCGTAAACTCCAATTAAGGTTAAGTTTTGGATCTTAAACACATCTAGGCTCTTGCTAAACCTTAGAACATTTGAACCCTTGAGACTCCTTACCTTTAAGACCCTAAATGTGACCATTTAGAGAATTTACAGCCAAGAGTAAACTCCTTTGGGCCGTAAACTCATCAAAAGCCTCCATTAAGTTGGTCTTTCTCATACTTCGGTAGAGCAAAAATCCCTCAAGCTTCCCTAGCCTTCAAACACCCTCATATGCATCTTTGACCATGAGCTTACGGTTGTAAACTCACTTGGCCGTAAACACATGGCCGTAAACACCAAGCCATGGCCTTAAACACACCTTAGATGAATCACATGTGATTCCAACACTTAGTCTAAGTGTTTCCTAGTCCCGGAAGGTGTTTCCTTTCATATAGTTGCTTATAAACACTATATTCATGCCAATATATGTCATTTAGGACTTGTTGTGTCTCGGGACTTCATTCGTGGAACTTCTCATCCTTACACACGTATCCGTTGAATCACCCACATCAGGTGAGTTCATACCCCGAAATGAATCTTTTAAACTATTTTAAATGCTTTTAGGGGGGGGGGGGGAATACAAGTTGAACACAATGATAATTGTGTAATTATTTGATATAAACATTTTCAAAAGATTACTTATGTCATTTATAAGTTGTCAAAACATTTCAAAAACTCTTTTAAAGTTATGTTACTTTATAGTTTTACAAAACTTCGTTTTTAAAGTACAATCATAACTTAGTAAATAAATGAGTCTTTTCAGTAACAGTTCAAGTAAAACATTAGTAAACTATAATAGGTATAGTTTAGGAAGATACTACTCCTTACTTCTAGTACAATGAAGCATACAAAGAGTCAGTTCATACGTGAGTCAAAGCACACTATGATGAGAAACAAACAGAACATACTATAATGAGAAACAAACAGAACATACTATGATGAGAAACAAAAATAACATACTACATACTAGACAGAGAGAACATACAATACAGCTAGTACATACAATACATATACAAGTATACCATAACATGAATGTGATCACTGTTTCGAGGCATGACATCACTTGTCATGGTTCGATTTGCAGCCAGAATCTCCTAGAGGGAGAGCGTGAATTTGGGTATAGACATATACTGGATTGACTATCCTACACCTTGATGTTAGCTACAGTGGGATTTGCAAGTCTACGGGTGCCAAATGTCATTCCTTCCGACGTCTTTCATCGTCGTGTTATTAGTCGATAGTATGGTGCAATCATATCACATTATACCTTAAATAACAATTGGTTTAAGGTAAGTAGTACATAAGTAGTTACTATAATACAACACTA